CGCACTTGCCCTTACGTGATATACTTGTTTATTGTTGCAATTGACTTGATATACTTGATTATGATGCGCGCACTTCCTGGAATTCCAGAAACCCTGTGGCGAGTTACTCTAGTCGAGCCGGCAAGGGCTTGGTCGATTGGGTAACGAACCCTGGGTCTCTTGTATTGTCGAGTGGAGTGATATCTCCTCGACTAATCGGTATACTCGAGTATTACCACCCGTGTTTATTGAGGATTTTGGGCCCAGTAGGGGGTGTGAATGGTGGACGGAGAGTCGTGTAAGTGGTGTTCTACTGGATTAGTTACTCACTTGAAAGTTGACGGAGTGTCAACTACTACGTGATCAAGCTTCTGGTAATGCAAAGGGGAATTTGGCTCCTGAGAGCCATCCGTATCCTTATGCTTTGGAATACTTATTGTTTATTGGATTATTGTTTCTTTTGAAAAATCTTCTACATTTGCTCATTTTAAGATTGCTACTTGACGTGTTACTGTTCACATTTATGAACACTTTATGAACTTTATGCTCGTTACTTTGCTATATCGAAAACTCGTACTTATAAATAATGGTCAATTTGCTATTTGGAACCTCACTGGGCTTTTAGCTCATTCCACTCCATTTGTTTTCCTTTCAGGGGTACGAGCGAGGTGCGAGATATGTAAAGTCTAGCATAGACTAGTTGTTTGATTTTTGACTTGTACTCGATAGAGATAGTGAGTGAGTCCTGGCGAGAGCTAGGCAGGCGGTCCGCCGAACCCTTTGGTACGCCTTAGGGGGAGGTGGGGTCGTCACAAATTTTGTATTAAGTGATATTATTTTACAAAGTGTTAAGATATTTGTATTGGAGTGATAAAAAGATAAGTTTTAAACCAAAAAGGTGACAAGTGTCACCTTGTGATTTAATCTTGGACTTTGACCATTATTTCTTACATTTACTAATACTCAATTTTGACCCAAAAATCATCCTATTTCTATGCTTCATGGCCGGCTCTCTCTCAAAGGAAAAGAAGAAAAATCTCTCAACTTTCTAGCTTCTCATCTCACTCAATCTTCAATTCTAACCGATTAAACTTGAATTTACTCCATAAAACCTCTTAGTTTGGTGGAGTTGAGCTTGGTTGTGAAGTTGTTTGGAAAGCTAAGGTGACTAATTGCTCTATCTCTTGTATTGCTAAGGTGAGTTGTGAAGAACCACTTTCCTTCCTCTAATGATGTTCAATTCATGATTGGTGGTGGTATAAGATGCACTTTTATGGATTATATCTTGGTTTTGGTTGAATTGGTGAAGTTTTATAATTATTGGGGATTTTTCTGTTTTCATATGGATATGATTGTGTGGCTATATATGATGATTGGAAATGATGTTTAAGGACTCTATGAGGTGGAAAAAGTGGTCATTTGCAATCAATTTCTGTTTTGGAAGAAATTTCAGAAAATTAGGTTTTGTGAAGGAACATTCTGCCCGAATTTATAGCTCCTAGTTAGAGGCCTAATTGGCCTTGACTTAAAACATGAAAATTGTAGGGAATGACATTTTAGAGGTTCCTACAAAATTTTAGGTGAATCGGAGTAGTGTAGAATGAGAAAAGTCGAAATTACTATTGCTGTTCTGGTTTTACCCGAATGTAAGAATTTCGCCTGTAATTGATTGTTTTGGTTAGGAATGCTTCCGAATTGGTTGTTGAGGCCTTCTGATGAAATTTAGCCCTGTTTCTTATCTTTCGGCTGGCTTCGGAATTTCTTGATTTGGACTTAGGTAGCCTGATTTATGATGTTTCCGGTAGAATGCGTTCTGTGAATATGTTTTTGTGATTCTGGTATGGTATCTTGCATTTTTGACATGGTTACACTCGAAACTGGGTTGAGTGACCTTCTGTAATATTGTAACCCTGTCTTTTAGCTTCAAAATGGTGTATCTTGCACCTTCATCCGACAATCGTAGCGCCTTTGGTACCATTACCGCAAAATGACGTCAAAACAGTTTTTCTGGTTTTGAGCTTAACTTTCATTTCCGGACTTTTCCCTAGCTTGACTTGTACTTGTACTACTGGGAGCTTGCTGAATGGCTATTGAATGAACTTGTTTTTGTGTGTGTACCTTTGGGTTGGAAGGAGGAAATAATGAAGCCTTGATGGCTGGAAAAGTAATGAAAGATAAGAGGAAGTGCTGTCCGAATTTTGAAAGGACTTGTTTGCATTGAGTTTGTGAACTAAGACTTGGATTTGAGTAAGGCAATGATATATGATGGATGGTTCCTGAGCGATGGAGGTGAGTGACCCCAAACTATTGTTAAAGCTTCTTATGAAATGTTTCTTGCATTATTTACTCGACTGCATCTCATGCGTGCTTGCATGTGAATTCATGATATGAGTTTGGCTTCAATGAGTTCTTGGGGAGTCTTGTGCTGGACACCAACGTCTCCACCTCTGTGTACTTGGAGCAAATAGCTCCGGAGCTCAAAAAGGGGCTCCCTCTGAATGTTAATGCTAATGTTAAATGATTTATTTGAGCGTTGGGTGTTCAAGTGCTATGACTTCACTGGCTCACGAGAGCAATAAACGGACATTTGTTCTTTGAATCATGACATCATCGAAAGGATCGAAATGCAATATTGTGAAATATATTTGATTACTGATTTTACTGGTTACTCGCTGAGCTTCTAGCTCACCCCAAAAATATTTTATTCCCCTCCACAGGGCTCGAGGCGAAGGAAACGTTTGTATTAAAGTTCTCCGTGTGTATGGTTGGTATTAAAGTTCTCCGTGTGAATGGTTGGTATCAAGGATCAGAGTGGCACAGCGGAAGCGTGGACGCTTCGCTTTTGATATGTAATTATTGGAAAATTTGATGTAATATTTGAGTTTTATCTTGTAATCTGTTTGAGAAATGTAGTGAACGACTGAGTCCCGGCGAGAGCTGGGCAGGCGGCCCACCGAACCCTCTGGTTCGCCTTAGGGGGAGGTGGGGCTGTCACACTAATCCTCATCAATTCCTTTGTGACCCACAAGCCATCTTCCAATGAGTTAAGAATTGCTAGACAAATCACCAACAACGTCTTGATTTGGAACGAGGCTTGATTCAACACTTTGACAGTTTCTGTGCTCACATTGGCAACGACCCACCGTTGTGATAATGAAGTGTGTGAAGAGGAGAGGTAGTCTCGCAATAAGGCTTGGAGCCAGTACTTCTCTTGCAGTGAAGTTTAGAGGAAGAAAAAGTTTTGATGGTAGAACTACATGGCAAAAAGATTAAGCACCGCAAAATTTAACTCAAATTTCTAGAGAAACTCATGCACTTCTGATGTCAATAGGGACCATGAGTTACTGTTTATAACATCAACTTTCCCTTGCTCATTTTATTCTTTTAGTACTAGAATTAGAGAAAAAAGCTTGTTCCGTTGATCCGAACTCACTCCTCTCTTCAATTACCTATATTATTGTGACAACTTAGGATTTTAATTGGGAGCAAATTGCTTGTCATCCGTCCTCCTCCAGTAAACTTTTTCACCTCTTATTAACGTCTTGTCTTTTGCTGTACTAAGGTTTCGATTGTTCACCATCATTAAAAAAAAAAACAAATCTTTTATCTTTTGTTTTCATTGGAAAGAGCAATAAAGCAAGAAAACAAAGGTAAAAAGGTAATCTTCGTAAAGGTGAAAAAGACTTGAGATGTGTTATTTCAACTAAAGGATTTTAGAATTCAATGAAAACCCCAAAAGTGCATGAGTGACAAAGAAGTATTTCATAATTTCTTGATGAATAGCTTCTATTTTAAGGCTTTTCTTTTGAATTCATATTTTTTTAATTTAATAAAAACTATTTCCAGTTTAGCAATGGTTATGAGTAATTGAAAGAAAAGGGGGAAAAAAGAAGAAAAAGAAACCAGTCACCATGTGACAGCCCCACCTTCCCCTAAGGCGAACCAAAGGGGTTAGCGGACTGCCTGCCCAGCTCTCGCCAGGACTAACGGTGCAATTTAGAGCGATCTATTGCGTTCCGGAACTTACAAATGTGCGTAAACAAGTTAAAATGTCAAAATAAAAAAAAATAAAAAAAAAAAGAAATCCGGAGTCAGCCATGAATAGTAACCGACCCGTCAGAACCCAACCAAATATCAAGCAAACATTCACATCTTGAAACTTAGCATTTACAAACCAAAGTGGCATACAAAAGTATTCAAAAGTGGATACATGTCTGGTTTGCCAAATCAAAAGAGAAACGGTCCCAAAAGTACATTTAGAGTTTCAATAAATGAGCTATACAAAAGATATGTCCAACTAGCTCAATTCGGCAACCAATTATCAATTGCAGTCCAAAAGTATTTATTTTCCTGTAAGGAAAACAAAAGGAATAGAGTGAGCTAATTGCCCAGTGAGATAATACTACTCAAGCAACCAAGTTCATAGATGCATCAAGCTTTTCAGTCCAATTCATCAAAAGTAAATAAAGACACACATCAATAATGATGATAAAAGGATTCGGGCGGCTCTCAAGAGCCCTTTTCCTCGTTTGCATTCTTGATCGGATCTCATTGACTCTCCGTCAATGTTTAAAAGTAACCAACCATAGACTTCACTTTACTTCCATTCCTTCCACCTAACATTCCCCTACCGGGCCCGAACTCCAAACACTTGCACTGTGGTATTACTCGAGTATACCGGAATCGAGAGTCTCTCATACTACAAGATTCCATATAACATTTCTCCAAGGCTCATTAATTGTCACGACCAAGCCCTCGCCGGCTCGATTCAATCAACTACCAATGGGGTTGAGCTCAATGATAACAATCATGGTCGTTGGATACTCGTCCAAACGACACCAAGTCATGTACTTTCATTTCATGTAACATTCCAATAACATGAGAAATAAGTGAGAGTGATAAAGTACACCCTCACTTCAATCAATATCAATGGTACAATAAACATTTAACTCATCAAGTTCAAGTATCAAAGCCATATAGTAACACACAAGTGAGTAGTACACTCACCAAGCTTGCAAATGATATTTCATGCAACCCCGTCAAAGGAACATCGTGAACCACCGTCACGCCCTAAAACATGCAAACAAGTACAATGAGACTCGATAACGAGTCATAAACCAAAGCCAAATATCACCAAAATAGGGTTCCATAAGCACACACAAGCAATAGAGGAAACCAGAAAAATCCGGAAATGGAACTAGCTTTATCCCTGAAAAAAAATAGTTTTTGACGTCATTTTGCGGTAATGGCACCAAAGGCACTACGATTATCGGATGAAGGTCCAAGACCCACCGTTTCGAAGTTAAGAGATAGCGATACAATATTACAGAAGGTCACTCAACCCAGTTTCGAGTGCAACCAGGTCAAAAATGCAATCTACTACACCAGAACCCCAAAAACAGATTCACAGAATGCATTCTAGTGCAAACATCATAAATCACCCTACCTAAGTCCAAATCCAGAAATTTCAAAGCCATCCGAAAGATAAGGAACAGGGCTACATTTCATCAGAAGACCTCAACAACCAATTTGGAATCATTCCTAACCAAAATAACCAATTACAGAAGCAATTCCCAAATTCGGGTAAAACCAGGGCAGCAAGGGTAATTCCGTCTTTTCTCAAGCTACGCTACTCCGATTGACCTGAAATTTTTCAGACACCTCTAAAATATCATTCCCTACAACTTTTATGTTTTAACTCAAGGCCAATTCGGCCTCTAACTATGAGCTACAAAATCGGGCAGAATGTAATTTCCAAGAACCCTAATTTTCCAGTTTTCTTCCAAAACAGAAATTGCTTGCAATTAACCACTTTTTCCACCTTCTAGCTTCCTTAAATACCATTTCCAATCATCATACATAACCACATAATCATATTCATATGAAAACAGAAAAATCCCCAATAATTACAAAACTTCACCAATTCAACCAAAAATCAAGATATAAACCATAAAATTGCATCTTATACTACCACTAATCATGGATTAAACATCATTAAAGGAAGGAGAGGGGTCCTTCTCAACTTACCTTAACAAGACAAGAAAGAGAGCAACTAGTCCTCTTAGCTTTCCAAGTAACTCCACCAAACAACTCACTATCACTCCCTTAAGTGTTTTTATGGAGCAAAAACAAGATTCAATGGTTGATTTGGTAGATTGGAGCAAGATTGAAGCCAAAAACTTGAAGAGTTTTCTTTCTTTTGTTGCTTAAGGAAGTCGGCCAAGATGAAGGAGAAAATGGTGAATTTTTGGTAGTTTTTTTTTGATTTATTTGGTCAATTGGTAAGAAAATGAATAGTGGTCTTACAAGTCCATCCAACCAAATGGTGACACTTGTCACTTATTTAATGCAAGTCTATCACTTTGTTTCCTCTCACACCAATCCAAATTGCAACCTCTACTTATCTCTTAACACCCGGTAAATTAATTGCAGTATCCAAAACTTAACCTAGTTGGCCGAATTTTTGCGAACTTTTCGCACTAGTGGGTCCCACGTCCGGTATACGCTCTTAATTTCTCAAAACCTATTCGATACTAGAAAAATCATCTAAAAACTATATCTGCTCCTTAAAAGTATCTAGAATTTTTCCTAATCACGAAAATGCAGAAAACAAGCCATGAAAGATAATAAAACCTAGAAAATTGGAAAAATTACGGGTTCTCACGCACCATCTTTTCTTTTTCTTCATTATCAGCAAGTTAAAGGAACTTCCATTTTTAATTGTAGTATTGAAAAAGAGACTAAAGAAGAGGAGTGCTCCTTTTATTTCTGCTTTTTTTTTCTATCAAAGAAAAATATTTATTCTAATTTGTCACTTAAAAAATTGACAAAATCAAACAGATAAAATAAAAGACCAAGAAGAGAAAAGGAAAAATTTTAGTCTAAGTCGTTATAAAAAATATTGATACAAAAGAAAAAGGCCAAGATGAGAGACGTGAAGGATGCCGTTCAAAAAGCAAAACGTCACCATGAAAGTGCATAGTTGTATTTGAGGTAAGACGCAAAATGAAGAAATTTGTTCTCATTAAAAATGCTGAGCTGTCGTAATGTTACTGGTGTCTGCAAAGGGCGCGAATTCAAATCAGCCGGAAACACATTTAACAGTTAGGATTAAATATTAATGTTATTCAAATTATAAATTTAAAGAAAAAAATGTTTGAGTTCCAAAAAAAAATAGACAAAAACATTTTAAAACCTATTTCTTGAATAACAACTTACCTAATGGAGAAAATCTTAAATTTACTCTATGTCATGACCCCACCTCCCCCTAAGGCGAACCAGAGGGTTCGGCGGGCCGCCTGCCCAGCTCTCGCCGGGACTCAGTCGATCACTACAGTCCTCAAACAAATACAAGATACGATCTCAAATAAAAAAATCAAATATCCCAAAACTTTACATATCAAAAGCGAAGCGTCCACGCTTCCACTGCGCCACTCTGATCCTTGATCACAATTAGTATACAGGAGGAAGTCCAAAACTAGACTATTACACATCCAATCAATTCTAAACGTTCAATACAATCCCAATATGAACGATTACACAAAAGGAAATCTAAGTTCAATCCATACATGAGATAATCCAGGATTAAACACTACAAGCCACTCCTTCGCCTTGAGCCCTGTGGAGGGGAATAAAACATTTTTGGGGTGAGCTAGAAGCTCAGCGAGTAACCAATAAAATCAGTTATCAAATCAGTTTCACAATCGTTCTTGTCAATAATGTCATTTCCATATGGAGTATCAATAATTCAAGAAACATTTACAATGGAAAGCGATAGTAACATTCATGAAAAGGATACATTCGTTCTCCTGTCATTTCATTGCATTTGGTTTCATTCGTTCATTCATTCACCCCGTCCCTGGCTTTTGGCCAGGCTCCACCAACCTACAAGGTAATACTCGAGTATACCGAAACGTTCACCCAAGTTCCTAGTCGCCCGACCAAGTCCGCTTCTGGCTCGAGACGACCGGTAACAAGGGGCAATGGCCAGTTCAGCCCAAAAGGCTTACATTCATGCGCAAGTAGCATTTAAACATTAATCATTGAAAATTTCATATTTATTTAGGTCGAGTGCGATAAAGTACACACTCGTCTAGAAAACTCGTTTTAACAATCATTGAAAGTAAAATCAATAATAACAAGACACTAATGCAAGCACGCATGATATGTAAGAAACAGTTCCAAAAGTAACTTTGAAAACGGTTCAAAAGTAGATAATGCAGTAAAGCGGTTCAAAAGTAAATTGGGAAACAGTTTGAGGTCACTCACCTCCACGGCTCTGAAACCATCCATCATATAGCATTGCCTTGCTCAAATCCAAGTCTTAGATCACAAACCCAATGCAACAAGTCCCTTCAAAGTTCGGACAGCACTTCCCCTAAATTTGCTAACTTTTCCAGCCATCATGGCTTCATTATTTCCTCATTCCATCCCAAAGGTACACACACAACAACAAGTTCATCCAACATGCATTCATCAAGCTCCAAGTAGTACCAGTCAAGCTGGGGAAAAGTCCGGAAATGAAAGTTAAACGGAAAACCAGAAAAACAGTTTTGACGTCATTTTCCGGTAATGGTGCCAAAAGCACTACGATGGTCGGATGAAGATACAAGACCCACCGTTTCGAAGCTAAGAGACAGGGCTACAACAATGTAGAAGGCCACTCAGTCCAAATCCTAGCACAACTAGGTCAAATATGCAGAATACCAAACCAGAACCGTAATTACAGGTTTACAAATTACACTATGCTGTAATTAGTCCAACTCAGTCTATACAGGTCCGAATGCAGAAATTCCAAAGGCATGCGGTAGCTAAGACATCAAGCTACATTTCATCAGAAGACACCAACATCCAAATCCAAAGCAATTCCAGTCAAAACAGACGATTACAATCACAGTTCGCACATTCTGATCACCCAGAACAGCAACAGTAAAAACGATATATCTCATTCTACACAACTCCAAATGCCCTGAAATTTTACAGGTACCTCAAAAACATCAATACCTACAACTTTCATGTTTTGAGCCAAGGCCAATTCGGCCCCTAACCATGAGATACAAAACCGGACAGAAAGGGGGTTATGAAACCCTAACTTTTCACATTTCCTTCCAAACCCAAAATTGGTTGCAATTTCCTATCATTTACATCCACTAGAGTCATAACCCCTCATTACCAACCATCATAAATAACCACAACATCATGATCACATTAAACCAGAAAATTCCTCAAAAAAATAAAAACTTCACCAATTCATTCCAAACCAAGAAATAAACCACAATTTTCAACACTATAGCCACCACTAGGCACAAATTAAACATCATTAGGTGTAAGAGGAAGTGTAATCATCACTTACCTAGTAAACAAGAGAGAGGGAGTTGTAGAACACCTTAGCTTCCTTAAAAAACTTCACCAAACAACTTACTAGCACCTAATGGAAGACTTTTATGGAGTAGAAACTAGTTGATGCAATTGGTTTGGAAGATTTGAGCTAGTTGGAAGCTTAAAATTGGAGAAGTTTTCTTTCTTCTTGAGCTTAAGGTGGCCGGCCAACATGGAGAAAGAAAGAGTGAATTTTCAGTCAATTTTTGAGATATTTAATCCAAGGGCAAGAAAGGTCAAAAAGGTGAATAGTTGTCTTAGGCTTCAACCACTCACAAAGTGACACGTGTCACTTCATTAAATGCATTTCTATCCTTTTGTTTCCTCTCACATCAATCACTTCACCTCCTCTACTTATCTCTTAACACCTGATAAATTTCAACCAGTATCCGAAACTTAACCTTATTGGCCGAATTTTTCCGAACTTTCGCACTAGTGGGTCCCACATCCGGTATACACTCTTAATTTCTCAAAACCTATTTGATACTAGAAAAATTATCCAAAAACTATATCTGCTCATTAAAAATATCTAGAAAATTTCCCTACTAAAGAAAACGCAGAAAACAAGCCATTAAATAAATAAAACCCTACAAAATGGGAAAAGTACGGGTTCTCACACTTATACTTTTCGGGGCGTCACACTCTATATAGTTAAAATTCAATTAAAGTTCATTTACAGAACAAAGTTAAATTTAAAGTACGTACAAATAAATTGTACAGGGGCTGGGGAGTGGATGTTCCGACGAGAAAAGTACAAATAAATGTATGGGGGTTGGGGACGAATGTTCAAATAAGTTAAATACAAATAAATTGAATGATAGTTGGAGGGTGGATGTTCAGATAAGACAAGTGTACTATTGTAATTTCTGAATTTTTTAGAACAATGAAGTATAATACTTCCTTATAATGTATCAAGGGGAAAAATCCATTTTTCATCCTCAAACTTTGTGACTAAGACACATTTGGTCCCCAAACTTTTTGACCAGACACATTGAGTACATGTATTAACTATTTTTTGCCACATTTAGTCAAAAAACGGGAAAATTTTCAATTTGGACGGTGAAACCCACGTGGCCGTTAACTTATGCATTGGGAATCAATGCAAGTCAGACTAAAGTCCACACATTCTCTCTCTAATGCAAGTCGACACAAATAGTGGAGTTTTGGTGTTTAAATCAGTCAACTACAATATCAGTTCCTCTTCAATCAGCAAAAATTCACTATTTCTCTGACATCCACCCTGTAGTTCGCAAAAAGGGAATTGAGGAGATGATAACGAATTTCCCTGTTGCTCCCAAACAGGGAACTGAGAGAATTAAGGTGATGATCTCGACCAGTTTGTAGGATGATATTCCAAATAAATTCAAGAAAGATATACCATGCCTTAGGCTACACCTACTAAACTTGCCGAGTTTGCTACGGAGTGACCCAGTTAAAATGCGTTCTTGCAAGCTTGACTAACTAATGGTCCGCCACACAGAAGTAATAGCAAATAACAACATGATTTTTTATCTTCACAAGCACCATAACTAATAACAGAAATGAAAATAGTCACAAAATCAGCAGGGACTAATCCTGTTTGTTGTCTTCTGATGGGTTAGCCAGAATATAAGTCAGATCAAGAGAATATTGTGTTGCTCTAATTACCTGGATCTCCCAAGGAAAAAACTTATCAATCTCACAAAGAGGGGCCAGAGTTCAGTTTTTGCAGTAGAAAAGATGTTGTTAGTTTCCAAGTTACTCTTATTTGAAGATCCAGTGAGAGACTGTGGTGCGGCCTGCAAGGAGACTTTTTCAAATGGCTTTAACAAATCGATGTGTGTCTCACTGGAAAGTGAAGACAGATGGGATGACCCGTTCTGCAAAATCAGAAGAAACAATAGATTCCTAACTACTTAACTTCAAAAATCAAATTTAAAAATAAAGCAAAGAATTCTAAAAACTACAAGTAAAATTACTGAGTTTACCTCCCTCCTTCCTCTTTTGTTACATAGTTTTGGTAAAAAGGCAAGGATGAAAAAAATAAAAATAAAAAAGAAGAACTCTTACCTCTTCAAAGAGTAGCATAAGGTTATTCCATGCATCAGGGAAAGGTTCTTTAACAGCTAAACTTCTCGTGCAGTGGTACAATGCCAGGAAAGCATCGCCAACATATGTTGCTAACAGTGCCAGCTGCAAAGAAACACAAATTTTAAGATCGAGGAAATATACAGTAGAATAAGTTTAGCAAATGAATTTGAATGTAGAAACTTCTTAAAAATCAGGATTAAACAATTGCTCCAACTGTTGCCAAAGAATCAATCTAGAAATGAAACAAGGTCTGCAGGATGGTTTCAAAAGTGACTTTTGTTCGCCAATTCAGGCTTGTCCCCAACACTAGTAGAGAATTTGGAACTGAAAATAGTGTAAGAGCAAAAATGACAGATACAAAGCTTTTCTAACATTCTAGAGCTAAACAAAGCCTGTGTTCATCATTAAGTAATATGAAGAAACCTACTTGATTATGGGGATTGCCGCTAGCTGGCCATATCCTGCTTGCTTCTAAGTAGTAAGTAAACGCAACCGACCATTTAGAAGCATCCTGTTTCTTACAAAGCTCGCCATATCTAGCAAGATCCCCAAGACATATTAGAAAGCGGTGGCATGCAAACTGACACTTGCTCAATTTCATTTGTTCAGTAGAAAATGAACTCTCCTTTGTTATACAAGAACACCTCCCCTGGCAGACCACAAACTTCTCTGAAAGCCTTGGTCAAATTGCTATAGAAGTCAGTCGCTTCAGACAGGAATGTCTTGAATCACTCCCAGTACACTCAAAGCTTCGTTGAATCACTCCCCTACCTCTGCTAATCTCACGCAGCTTTTCACTCCACAAGCTCGGTGGGAAAGAGATAAACTTGGAGAGGAAAAGGAGCTCCACCCTTAGACTTTGAGTGTACTTTTACTCAACATTTTGTGTCGACTTGCATTAGAGAGAGAATGTGTGGACTTTAGTCTGACTTGCATTGATTCCCGATGCATAAGTTAACGGCCACGTGGGTTTCACCGTCCAAATTGAAAATTTTCCCGTTTTTTGACTAAATGTGGCAAAAAATAGTTAATACATGTACTCAATGTGTCTGGTCAAAAAGTTTGGGGACCAAATGTGTGACGCCCCCACTTCTCCCTAAGGCGAACCAAAGGGTATCCGCGGAACGCCTGCCCAGCTCTCGCCAGGACTCACTACAATCCATCATTCAAAAGCTCGAAATACTTTAAGTAACTTCAATACATAATTAAAGTACTTCAAATATCTCACACTTACAATTATGTAGCTTTCAAGCTTAAATACAACCCAACGGAAAAGGGTACAATAGCCATCCGTTATAATATAACTTAAAGTTTTCAAAAGAAAACAATCTAGTACTACTCACGAGCACCCTTGGTCTCGAACCCTGTAAAAGAAATCCACAACGTGGTATGAGCTACACAGCCCAGTGAGATTCCAAGACACTCTAACAGTTCAAATAAATCAAGTAAGTTGGGCATATCATATGCATGGTTCAAGGTTACACAATGGCATGTTATCATGAGGTGGTAATCATTGTACGGGTAATTTGAGACATTTATCATGGTATGAGACATTAGCATGTATAGTTCACGAGTGATTGGAGCTTATTACAGGCATAGCTCAGGATTTCATGTTGGCATTTTAGCACGAAACAATCATCATGATACCAGGTAAACATATACTGTAGGATACGGTGTTCCAGTGGAACTCTGTCGGTCATCTGCACCTTATGACTTCCGGATCCCCTCGGTTTGACTGGCCATCACCTTATCCCTCCAGTGGTAATACTCGAGTATACCGAAACGGTGTCCCAAGGTTCCAACCTACCCGACCGAGCCCAGTCCTGGCTCGAGTAGGTTAGTAACGATGAGCAGGGCCCAATTCAGCTTAGAGCTTACAACATGCACAAGTAATCAAGTAATTCGGCAAAAGGTAAAATTCATAATTTGAGTAGGTCGAGTGAGGTAAAGTACACACTCGCCTAACAATGATGGACAACTTCATATAACATGCGATTCATGATAATCAAGTGATCAAGTAAGTTGGTGATTACGTAAGCAGATAATCAAGTAAGCAAGTAGCCGAATAGATTAGAAAACGGTAAGTAAACATGGTTAACGGTAAACGGTTAACGGTGGTAATTACGGTTAATTGGTAGACATATGTCATTTTAATAGGCCACCATTGGCCGTTTTCACTTTTTCCACATAAGAGTCGAGGAGATTCACTCCAACCGACTTATGCTGTCATAGCATAATTAATCATTTAAACACATCATGTAGATATGCTCTCCAAGCATTTCATATCTAATATTTCAAGTAATCACATAAATATGCTCTTTAAGCATTTCATATCGAATAGTTCAAATATACATATTTCAGGTATTTCATGTCGAGTAATTCAAGTATACCTTATTCAGATATGCATGAGTGTGGTAAATACTTAACATATAGCACTTAACACTTAATAATCATGGGTTATGCATGTCATAGACTTATTCCAATTACGTATTCCTATATGGAACACTCACCTATAGCAACAAGAGAGTAATACTCAAACAAATGTCTAGACGTCCACTTCGAGTTCCTCTTGAAGGTCCCCTTGAGCGCCTGGGCAAATAACCATCAACTATTATACACTATCACTTAGAACCCCTACTTATCAAAGAAGGTTATACAATCTAAGGGGAATTCATTAATTGGGCCAAAATTATTAATAATCGAGACTCAAGAGTAAAGTTTTAAAGTCTAAAGAGAGAGACTAATATTTTCCATGAAATCGAGTTCAAAATGTTCAATCGGTATCGAGAAAAGAAGGCAAGTTTCCAAAATCTCATTTTCTAAGAAATTGACAAATTTCAGCTTTGGGTGTCAATTTTAGAAAAATCGTATCTTGCACTATGTAGGTCCAAAATTGGAAAGATTGATACCGTTGGAAACTTCTTCAAAAGCGCTAAAAGTTCCTAGAAGATACTTTTCCATGATTCCAAACAGAAGGTATTCAAAAATTGACTCAAAGTTGCTGCTTGGGACCATTTAGACAGTTTCGGGGTTGGTTTTTGACCATCTTTGAAAATCCGGCAAAATTCATACAATACGAACTAACCTCCGAAATTTAGAACTCAATTAGAGCTACAATCAAAGTTTAAAACAAAACAAACGGTACAAGAATTGAAGTTTTGAGCGCCAAGATATAGCAGCTCAAAGTTGGCTAAAATTCCTCCTCGATCAAGAATTTCCAGATTTAAACATGAACTTTGGGACTTTGTTTGAACATCTAAACAGACTTGAAATGGCACCAAATTTGGTCTGATTATACTACCATATAAGGGCTATTCCTCTGTCAAATTTCATAGAAAAATATGCACGGAAAGTCACTTAACGAAATCACTCAAGTTTCCAAATTTTTAAGGCAAAGCTGCCTCGTGTATGAAAATTTCCTTTTTCTAAACTTTTGACCAAGGGAAGATACCTAAAACATGTCTCGTTTATGATAATCAGGTCTAGCAAGAATTCAAAATACATTTGATAGGTGATTTACATCAAGAATTTCGAAATAACAAGTCCCAAGTCATTGTTAGTTACAAATCTGTCCAAGTGGAAAATTCTATCACTGTAGCTGTTTCAAACTTTGGCCACAACTCACTCAATTCAACTTGGAATTGGGCGTGGTTGATGGCGTTGGAAAGCTCTCTCATAAAGCTGAATTTTCTCAGAATAAACCATTTTCAAATTCCATTCACAAACAGCTCATTTTTGAGCATGAAGATACAAGTCCTGTCCTGTCTCCTGGAGAGAAACGAAACAGGACAGTGATTTTCAATCGAATGGTGTTGCTCACTCAAGTGGAACTAGAATGTACATTTGGTACCAATGGAAAGCTGGGAATGTCTAGTTTCAAATGCCACTGACGGCACTGAATTTCGACATCGGAGTAAAGAGTTATAGCCGATACAAGATGACTGCCTAGGCAATACGGGATTCATTTTCCAGTTTTGCTAACTTTGGAAATCAACTCATTTAACCAACCAAATCATGTTATTTTTCAATGAAATTTTGTACACACTCACAATAACATGTAAACAATATAATCAAGTCATTAGAACCTCAAAATTGTGCACAAAAATGGTCGGACAAGGCAGGGGTAAAACGGTCACTTTAGCTCCAAGCACCTCCTATGATTTTCTACCAACAATACAACATTAATCCACTAATTTAAGCACTAAACCACCATTAAATCCATCATCAAGCATGAGATCAGTCCTCAAGACAAAGGTGGGAGTTCATAGAGCCCACCCATTTCATTTTACACCATAAACAAGCTACCCAAATGCAAATACTACCTTATACATGTAAGATGATCTTCATAAAGCAAGATTTAAGTGTTGGATTAACACCTACTTGATTAGAGGATGAAGGCAGAAATTTCGGCCCCTTAGATGCTCAAGAAAACCATGGATAGCAGCTCCTTTTCTTAGCTCAATGGGATCTCTAAATGTTTAGTTAAGTGTAGTTCGAATTTGGAGTGAATTGGAAGAGGTTTGATGAAGATTTGATGAAGGAAAAATGAAGAACTTGGTCTTGTTTTTCCTTGGAGTTGCACGGCTGGAATGAGGAAGGAAAAGAAGAGTTGCACGGCTGTTTGAGGTGATAAAGTGGAGGGTTTTGATCTGGTGTGATGCACCCATGTGAAACTAAAATGTGTGGCTCTCATTGATTCAAATGTTAACTCTTTTTCCCGCGCGTTTCGTGTTCGATTCCTCTCGAATTTGTTTCACTGGTGCACTAAACCTCTAATGCACTTATATTCATATAAATATTATTCACTCTCAATCGTCCCAAAATAAGGGTCTAAAGTTCCTGAATTTAAATCGCGCGTGTGAAAACGCGTATCTCCAATTTAAGCGCGATAACGCGAAACTTCCGAGAAATTCTTATAACGATAGTACTAATAACTATCACCTGAGTATTTAAACATTAAAATACCGAATTTAGGTCCATTGTACATGTCTCCAATATTCCAAACTTATTGTACTCTCAAGCGGATAAAATCTCCAAGCACTATTCACTATTTTTACTAAACGCGCTCCAGGAAATTAATTCGTGAAATGAGTTACTTTAAAAATATAACGAAGTTATATTACCATGCATTTAGGTCTAATAAGACTAGAAAATATTCCTCGAGGCAAATATCCAATTAAATAATTTATTAAGCCACAAATTAGGCTTAAAAATAATAGTTTTTACGAGTCCTCACAAAATGTGTCTTAGTCACAAAGTTTGAGGATGAAAAATGGATTTTTCCCATGTATCAAGTGGGATTTAAACTTTTGACTTACTTCCTTGTAATGTATTAGGTAGGATTTAAACTTCTGACCTAATGCATGATAGAGTTTTAAGAGACTATACCTGGCCAATTGGACCAAAACTCAATGAGTTTGTTTGGACAAAGATAATTTGGTTTGCAAAATTTGTTTTCACAAATTCCAATCACCTTTTTATCTTCCCAATCACCTTTTTATCTCACATACATCACATCACAAAAAGTGCTACAGAAAATATCTCAAATAAATCATCCAAATAAACTCTTATCCAAACAAACTCAATGGTTTCAAAAAGGTCAATCAAATTAAAAAAAGAGGCCGAAACTATAGATCTTCAGAAATTAGGAGGGAGTATTTACTTTATTTTATTTCTTTTCTTTTGGGAGCTAAAGGAGGCAAATATTGGCAAACGACAACGTTGGCACACGTGATCCTGCATATTTTATAAAGCAGTTATTGATATTTGGACCGTTGCGCATACATTAACGTGACAAATTCCAACGGCTACTTTTCTCTTGGTATCTTTTACTTCTGCTTTACCCTTTTTTACTTCTGCTTTACCCTTTTTCGAACAACTTGCATCATTACAGCTTTTCTCTTGGCTAAAATTCCATGGAGATGAACCCCGAGATTGCCCCTTATGGGGGCGCATTGGTGATGGTGGTGGAGTACCTAGAATCCTCTATGTGCAGAGATCTGCTCTCCAAATTCCCTGACAATTCGGCCTTTGATTTTGACTATTCACAGAGCTCCATTTGGTCCCCTTTGATCCACAGGAAATTTCCTTCAACAACTCCCATCAGTAATGACCGCAGAAATGTACTGAGCTGCGGCCTCTCGAGAAAGCTTGTTTACAATGATGATGAAGGGCTGACCAAGATCAAGAAAGTGACTGCAAATATCAAGAGAAAGTTCACTGATGCTGTTTCTGATAATCTCCTGAAGTATCAAAAGATGAGGAAGAGAAAGAGGAAGAACAGTCTTGATTTTACTCCTTGCCCTTCTTCTAAGCTTCCTTCCACTAGTCCAACACCAAGAAAGGTACTATCATTCACTATTCAGAAATAAAAAACTTAATTTTCGGTGACTTTATTCTGATTAATTATCTGAGTGGTATATTTTTGTGGTGATTTGACTATTTTTCTTGAGGTGTAGAGTAGTGCTACTAATAGCTAATATGTTTTTATCTTTAGCAGTCTCATTAATGAGATAAATTTTGTTGTTTAGGGATGGGTAAAGGTGCTGAAAGCTGCTTCTAAGCATTTCAAAAAGAAGAGCAAGAAGAGAGACTCGTATACTCAGATCAACTTCTCAAGTTGTTTCACGTAAACAGACTCCTGAGAACTGCTTTTCTAGTTTTCTTCACATCGGTCATCTTTTGCTGCCATGTTTCTCATTCTTTTATGTAATTCGATTACTATCATCAAATTCTATTAATAGACCGAATTACTGAGTAGTCTTTAGAAATTTATAGGTTTTGCACATTTTCGAACTTCTATCTTGTCATCATCCTAAAGGTTTAACAGATTTTGAAACTGCAGTTAGGTTGTAACCATCCTAATGCTGCTATTTAGATTACTGGAAATTAACACATACTCTTGCTTAGAAAATTGGGCAGTTCCAGGATGCTGTACACGCTAGTTGTATCTGTCAAGATGAATCATGACTGAAATATTATTCATCTCGAATATTTGAATGTCACACGACATGCCTACGGATATTAGCCACAATGTGCCCGGAAAAAAGAACTGTTGTAGTTATGTTCGTATGTTATGAGGAAGATAACATCAGCAGTAGTGGGTAACTATGATTTCCTGATGGCAAAAAAGCCTTGCTCAATTAAGTGTATTGTTGAGTTGGCTTCCCATTGACATAAACAATGACAAAGTAGTTGTGGATTTACATAGACCAAATACACGGCCTGAATAAAGCTTATTGGCACAAGGTACTCAATGTTCTGATAATTTGTTCTAATCTGTTATGATGAAAGCTTGGCAATAATCACAAAATGCAGCTAAATTTGAAGTTACAAGATCCAATTGTCCTTGAATTCTTGAGTATAATTAGTTAGCATACTATACGAGTCTGCAGTATGTTGAACAGGAAACTTGATATGCTATCCACAACCCATAACTTACACTGGTACTAAGCATCCATAAGTTACACTCGTCATTTTTGCGCTACCAAAGGATCTTCAATGAAACGTCTAAGTGAAATGAAAGAAGAGCCACCATCCATCAATGCTTCTATAGCCTTCTTTCCAATCTCCTTAACTCTCCTTCGCACAGGATTTTCATCGTCCATCAAACACCTTATGGCCTTCTCTATCTCATTAAATGGTACAAGCTTATGAGGATTCTTAAAACGGTAGTCTAAGGTCAACTGCATGGCTAATTCCAAATCTTTTACTAATTGAAAAGCATTAGATTGTTGTTCAGCGTATACAGGCCATGTTGCAATTGGCACACCATTCCACAAGCTTTCCAGTATAAAATTCCACCCACAGTGAGATACAAGGCCACCAACTGCTTCATGGGCTATAACACAAAAAATACCTTTTTCTTTGTTCGCTCCAAAAACACTTCTGGCAGAATCTCAGAAAAATTGGTATACTAACTCGCTTTGCACTGAATTCCTTTGGTGCTGCCGCCCGTGCAACCATAAGAATCTATATCCACTTCGCTCCAGAGCAGCCGCCATCTCTGCTATCTGGGGATGCTCAAAACCTCCCATGCTTCCAAAACAGAGGAAAAGAGCAGATGAAGATGGCTGGTCATCAAGCCATTTGATAATATTTTAGGAGTTCGGATGCTTTTCGACCTCAAAGTTGATCACAGGTCCCAACCGTATAAATTGGTGCTAATTCCTTATCTGATTCCAGATACTCAGTTGCATGGGAGATTCTAATTCGGCAAATGTATTTATGATAAAGCTTTTTGTCTCTCTAAATCGTGTACCTTGATATAACATTGATCCATAACCCCCAGTCTTATCAAACAGAAAAGATGGTAAAACCCTCGAGGGTACAGGGTGGGAATAGGTAGTTATGATTGAATCAGGATCTGAAATGCTAAATTCACCCCTTCCCAGAATGGCGAATTGGGAGATAAAGCATAAGCCCAAGAAAAGCAGCACTAGATGTGAATAAAATGTAGGAAGGAACACCAAGCTCATTAGCTACATCAATCATTGATGTGCAAAACAAATCGATCACTAACCCGGCGAGTTGAGTACAGGGTTCGACAAAATTGGTTGGTCATGGCATTTTTGACGAGAGCTTTGTGCTTCTCAATTAAACAGCAGTGAACTTCTCGATCGACCTCATCGGTTCTGGCTACGGTGGATCAACAGAAGGGAGGTTAATGAATCGGATATTAGAATTGGCGGCCGCTAATTTTTCAATGTATGAATCAAGTTTAGGTGGAGTAGCCCGCTTTATGACTAGAACAGTTACTGATTTGCGTTCTTCTCTTTGAAGAAGCTGCTTTGCGAACCCGATTATGGATGCTGTGTGGCCTCTGCCTGGTGCAGGAACAAAAACCAGCTCTGTTTTCTTCATCATTGGATGTGTTGATTGGACTTTCTCCTCCCTTTGTTCCGCGGAGACAATGTGATATACCGGTTTCCATTTTGTGGTTCTCGGATGACCGTCTCAAAACTTGCAGTGGAAAATTGTGGAGGAAAGCAAAGGAAACCATCTGACGGATGTTCTGACATCATGTTTAGATATCGCACGATTTCCTTCTACATTCTTTTCCACCCCTAGATCGGCAAGCCATAGTTTTGGCGCGGGTTGCTGTCCAAACTAACTTGAGCTTCCGAAAGGTTAAAAAATCGCTTTAAATCTTGGAAACTAGTTAACCCGATCGGACGGAATAGTGAACCGTCAATCCGTTCCGATTTAAATCAAACCAGTCTGATGCTTGATTTATTCATTTATGTCCGCTTCTTCAATGCAATCAAGTGGTTTGTTTGGACATTTAATGCATTAATTAATGAAAGTGATACATTCTACGGGTGTGAATCAGAATTGAAATCGGTAATTTGGAACTTTGAAATCGAAATTTTGGCATTAGAATTTTCGACCGAATTCGATTTCGGATTCACTAACTCTGACTTCAAATTCGTTCCGAATTCAATTCGATAAATTTCAATTTAGGAATATAAAAATTATTATTATTATATAAATGTTATATTACATATATATATAAAATATTATATATATATATATATGGAAAAACGAATTTGAAATCGAAATAGGAATTCCGATTTGAAAAATCTCATTACTGAATTCGAACTAAATTCGCATAATTCAAAATCGGAAAACCCGATTTTAGTTTCGAATTCCGAATTATCAATTTCGAAAATTTCGAATTCAGTTGGTAAATTAGAATTTTTCAATCTTGCACACTCCTAATACATTCTTCCTAGTACCACATATATATTTTTGCTGTCTACTCCTTTAATTCTCTTAAGTTTTCAAATCTTCTCCATTTTCATGCGGCATTATGAATTTGTCATTTTAGTTTCCAAATTATATTTTAGCTCTAAATTATTTACAAAATCCCAACTTCTATGTAATTTTATCTTATTAACAAAACCATATTTTTGAATTTTTTTTGTTTGAAGGAATTTGATTTCTAATTCAATAGGTTCACCAAATATGTATATGTAAAGTATAAGGTCAGATTAACCTAAGAGGGGGTTGAATTAGATTGATTTGAAATCTAAGCATGATTAATACAAATTTTGTTTAAAATAAATTTACAAAGTTGCCTAGGTGATTAATTATATAATTAAGCACCAACTTGAAGATGTAGTAGAATTAAAGCAATGAAAGCACTTAAACACATAGAAAAGAAGTAATTAGAAATAGGGAATAATAATTGCAAACCACACTAACTCCCAAGTTTGAACTCAAATTCGGAGTTGTACCCACTATTGAGTTTTTTCAATTTGGTAAAGCAAATCAATCTTGTACAACAGAAGACTTCCTTCGTGCTCACACAAAACTCCTTTTGATTGAGTCAAGAAGTTTTACAACTTACCAAATCAACCCTCACAAATCTATAAATTGAATACACTCACTCACAATTGAAAAACTAAACAATATATTACACCTACACAAAAATTAGAAGAAAGAGAAAGAGCATGTGAGGCCCCAAAATTTTACTTGTCTTTATAACTCTTATTTGAACTTACTTGCCTTAGATTCTTGGGTGTTTAATGGTTGAATTTGAGCCAAGGGAGTGAATTTTGTTAAGAAAAAGTTTCATATTCTCAAGTTGTTAGAAAATCTGGAATTTTCACAGGAGGCTTTGCGCAGGTTTGGGAAATTGGCTATAAACTTTGTATAGAAAAGTCGGAATTGAGTTCCATTTGTTGAAAAGTTGAAACTAGACTCATAGAGCTTCCTACGGTGTAAAATTTAGAGTTCGATTCAATTTTTATAAATACCAGAAAATCGGCAAAGTTGACCGAAAATTCTGCCCTACACAAGTAAAAATAGGAATGTTGTAGTAGCTTATAGCTCAATTTGGACCAACTTATGAACTGAATCTCTTTGAGGTGTCTTCTAAAGATTATTAGTGTTTGAAGTCTAGTTTTTAACAGGCTAAGTTGTATGAATTTTTGACATTTATAACTCAAGTTATGATTTTTCTAAAGGAATGATGCATGCTAGGTTTTTTTTGGTGCATTTTGGTAATGTGATCACTTGGTGAGGTGTGTGTACTAAATTTGGTGGATAAGAATGGGTATTAATTAAGAGGAAGTATGTGATTAGAAGTGATAATAATAAGTTAGCGAATCATAAGTTAAAACACAAGTACGAGAGAGTTAAGGAAAAAATAGGCTTGAACCGACATGCACCGTTTGTTACCGATTGAGCATACCATTTGACCACTACTTTCTTACCCTAATCTTCTTGTTTTTATTTCATCTAATCAGCCCTAAATTAAACCCTAAACCAGCCGAAATCTTGGACCAAAGAAAAGGAAGAAAAGAAAAAAAAAAGAAAGGAATCTTGATGTGCCAAGTGTTGTCAATCAAAGAAGAGATGACCAAGGCAAATTCCTTCCTTCTTATCTTTCATTTTGGCTACATTTCTTCCATTTTTCCTTCATGGTGGCTGAAACTTGGGAGAGAAAAACAAGAGAGGAGAACTTCCAACTTCATCTTGAATTTGCCTTGTGTGAGTTGAAATCTCAAAATCCAAACCGATTAAACTAGTTCCTTGGTACTTAAGAAGCTTGGAGTGGTGAATTTCTTGGGAGAAATAACTTGGTTCTTCACTTTCTTCAAGTGTTTTGGAAGGTATAAGTCTAAAACTTCCTTTCTCTTTCTTATTTTAGCAAACTATGGAGTAGATGCCTTGAATCTTGAAATATATTGGATGATACTCTAGTTTTGGTGTAGATTAGTGGATTTTCAGCTAAGGTTTTGCCATTTTAGCCTTGCTTTATGTTGTTCAACTATCTTATGTTGGTATGGAGCTTGGATATGGAATTTGTGAGGTGATTAGTAGCATGATTGTGACTTTTAGTTTTAAAAGATGAATTTCCAGCATTGTTAAGGAATTTCCAGCTTTGATATTGTATGGTTACTTGTTAGAAATGAGTTACAATTTAAGGTTTTAAGCCTAGATAAAGAGCTATCTTGATATGCTTGCTTATGGTGTTTGAATTGGGTTGATTTGAGAAGAAAATAAAGCCTTGAAATGGCTGGAAAATTAGGAAAATACAAAGGAAATGCTGTCCGTTTTATTTCGTGAAGTTCAAGCAAGTGAAATTGGAACTTGAGTGGTGATTCTTGGTTGAATTGAACCTAAATTGCTTAGGGTATTTGAATTCCCCTTAATAGAGTTGTATAAACTGAATTTTTTGCCAAAACTTATATATTTTATAAAGAGAAAGTAGCGACTGTTTTAAACAACATTTTCTTGTTTCTTATACCAAGTTGCGAACTTAAAAGTTTTAAACGCTTCTTTATCGAAACTAAAAGAGCGAGCATGAATTTTCTAGGGTTTGATAACTAAAATGAGTACTACTTAAATGAGTTCTATTTACTTGGTTTTCTTTAAGTGAAACTCTTATATTTTGAAACCCTAATTGATTTCAAGTTGCTATACGATATTTTATCGTACATTTTGATTCTAACCAGGGAGTTGAATCTGAACTTGGTTTTGGAAAGCAGTAAATCATTGGTGAGTGTTCCAACTGCATGTCCCCTGCTCATTGTTGCTAGAAATTTACTAAACACCTGATTTGACATTCATAGGCGAGTGTGTACGTTATCGCACTTGACCTAACTCAACTAAATATTTGATATCTCATTCATGCATGTACAAGTAACTTGATTTGCATGTTACCTGTATATTGACTTGAAATACTTGAAATGTGTGGATATGTGACATGCTAGGCATTATTTGTGACTTGGTCAGGGCCAGGCGGGTATGCCCTTATTCGCACTCGTCTTCCCCTTCTTGAATGATCTTGTACCTGATTGCACTTGATTGACCTGTACTTGTGTTTGTACTTGTACTTGACTTGTAAGTGTTGAGCGGCAGTATGTACCACACTCAATCCGAGTGGGAGGTGCCTCTCATTTTGTTTCCGTACTTTTATCTTTATTAAGTCGATTGGAGATGTTATCTCATCGACTATACTGACTGCTTGGGAACCCAAACCCCACTAGCTAGTTAATTGAGTCGAGTCGGCAATGGCCTGGTCGATTAGATAACGAGCCATGGGTCACCTATTTTGTCGAGTGGAGTATTATCTCCTCGACTAATTGGTATGCTCAAGTATTACCACTAGTGTTTATCTTGGAGTTTGGGCCCGGTAGGGGGTTTGAATGGTGGACGGAGATTGGAGTTAAGCAGTGCTCCACTGGACTTGTTATAATTCCATGGTTGACGGAGTGTCAACAGATTTTGAACAAGTGGCCACGGAACCTGCTCCCGAGAGCAGACTGTATCCTTTTACCTGGAAATGTTGGATATCTAATAATTTGCTATTTGAAGTGTTATTGTTCATTTTTATGAACTTTTATGCTCGCTACTTTGATATTTTAAGTTTTATACAACGGTCAACTCGCTACTTGGGTTGCGTGATATTTTGGAACCTCACGGAGTTTTGACTCATCCTATTAGTTTTGTTTTCTTACAGGTGATACAAGCATAGGCGTGAGGCTAGTATAGGCTGGTATCATCTAGTTTTGACTTTTGTGATTATAATTGTGCTAGTGCTCGATTACGGTTGAGAGTTATCTAGAACTTGAATCTTTTGTTATGTTGGGAAATGTATGAATGCTTGAGATAGAACTGGGTATAAATGTACATCCTAAGTTTGGGAACTGCTGTTTCGTTTACTTTTGAAGTTGTAACCTGTTTTATTGAAATGAGTGAGCGAGTCCTGGCAAGAGCTGGGTTGGCGGTTCGCTAAACCCTGGGGTACGCCCTAAGGGGAAGTGGGGTCATCACAGAGCATGTTAGGTTAAAATCACTCTTGGAAACTTATCATCATTGTTAGCAAAAGTCTCTGTTCAATTCTAGAACTA